CACACCCCTCACACGTTTCGTGGCCCCATAGGGAGCTCCACCGAAGGCCCCATGGCTGCCGTCCGCATGCGTCCCGCACACCCATTTCGGCACACCCCTCACACGTTTCGTGGCCCCACAGGGAGCTCCACCGAAGGCCCCAGTGCTGCCGTCCGCATGCGTCCCGCACACCCATTTCGGCACACCCCTCACACGTTTCGTGGCCCCATAGGGAGCTCCACCGAAGGCCCCAGTGGCTGCCGTCCGCATGCGTCCCGCACACCCATTTCGGCACACCCCTCACACGTTTCGTGGCCCCATAGGGAGCTCCACCGAAGGCCCCATGCTGCCGTCCGCATGCGTCCCGCACACCCATTTCGGCACACCCCTCACACGTTTCGTGGCCCCACAGGGAGCTCCACCGAAGGCCCCAGTGCTGCCGTCCGCATGCGTCCCGCACACCCATTTCGGCACACCCCTCACACGTTTCGTGGCCCCATAGGGAGCTCCACCGAAGGCCCCATGGCTGCCGTCCGCATGCGTCCCGCACACCCATTTCGGCACACCCCTCACACGTTTCGTGGCCCCACAGGGAGCTCCACCGAAGGCCCCAGTGCTGCCGTCCGCATGCGTCCCGCACACCCATTTCGGCACACCCCTCACACGTTTCGTGGCCCCATAGGGAGCTCCACCGAAGGCCCCATGGCTGCCGTCCGCATGCGTCCCGCACACCCATTTCGGCACACCCCTCACACGTTTCGTGGCCCCACAGGGAGCTCCACCGAAGGCCCCAGTGCTGCCGTCCGCATGCGTCCCGCACACCAGGTGTGTGGCGTGCCGACATGGGCGTCGCGGCGCGCGGGCGCTGCCGTCGGGGTTCCCAGGGAAGCCCCCTGCAGAGGCGACGCTCAGAGTCACGAGTACCGAGAGTCACGCAGACCCAAACTGTTCACAGTCGTATACATACATTTACACTGGGCGTATCCATGCACGCATTCATGCGAATAGAATCAATCGCGCGCAGATTCATTCATAATCAGACTCGCTCGCGATCCGACTCGCACGCGCTCAAGCTTTCATATTCGGACCTATCGTCTTCGTTCGTGTTGTGTACACTGCCACGCATTTCGGCACACCCCTCATACGGCTCGTGGCCCCATAGGGAGCGCCACCGAAGAAGATGTTCACAATTGCGCTACTCTCAACTGCATTTGGTTGGGTCCTTCGCCAGGCGAATTATAAACATAAAAAATGAGAACCTCCGTGGGGGAAACCGGTTTGGCTGGGATGATATGGTTTCATATTTAGGATGGGCGAGTGGTCATAATCATATATGACTCACATCCCCGAAAGGGAGCGAATAGAGCGGATAAGTCCGGGGGGGGGGTAGGGAAGGCCTATGACGGCGCCAATGTTGATCACCCCGACTACGATGACGGCGTCGTCGCGTCGGTAATGCAGTTTGTGGAAGGAGTTCGACATGCGCGCGCGGCCGACGCGCGACAGTAGCCGCATGGAATCATTTGACACGAATCGCGCCCCCCCCCACCAGCACGCGCGCAAGGGCGTTCGAATGATCCCGGCACGCGGCGCGAGAGGCCCGTTTGATAGAATTTCATGACAATCTAGAGTATATATATATATATATATATATATATATATATATATATATATATATATTCGTACATATATATAGAAATATGTATGACAAATCAAGAACTCCCAAGAGTGCGAGCGCAGGCTTTTTTGAAAATTGATGTTGCGAAATCATGTGTGCATATGTTGTTTGGACCTTCGTTTTTGAAACCTTTTACGAAGCCGAAGGTTTTTGACTGATTCCAGCATGCGCGAGCGACGACGCGTGCGTGTGCTCTTCGTCTCATTTGTTGTAGAGGGTTCTTGCGACAGCACGCGCGCAAAGGGCGTTCGAACAATTTCGACACGCGCGCACGCGAAGTCTGTTTGGTAGCAGCTTATGCAAATGTTGAAGAAACTTATGTTTTCGTGGAAATCGCGAGAGCACGCGCGCAAGCTTTTCTTGAACATCCAGACGCAAAACCACGTGTTTTTTTGTATGTGTCTTGGACACCAGATTTGCAAATTTGTGCGTCATCGAAGGTTTTTGACGGATTTCATCATGCGCGCGCGACCATGCGCGCGTGCGCATTTCGTTTCACCAGTTGCAGAGGATTTTTGACAACTGATGAGTTTCGATAAACGAGCGCGCGCATAATATTTGTTGCAGAAGATGACGGGCGGGGTCGATACCCGCCCCCTGGGATGGTGCAAGTTCATATCTAAGATGGACGATGGGGCACCATCAGATTACGCAAATTCGAAATAGCGCGCTCTGTGGTCGCTTGGAGGGGGGGGTTGGAACCGGATCCCCCCCCGGATGGAGGGGAGGCGGGGTTCGACCTCCCCCCTTTCCCGTGGCGGAGGGGGTGGGGGGTTCGAACCCCCCCACCTTGTTCCTCCCTTACTTTTCGTTTCTCCCTCTCCCCAGGCCGGCGCCTGCGTCGGCGGCGGCTGGCGGTTGCGGCGGGGACGACGGTTTCCTTTTCTGGGCCGGCACCTGCGGCGGCGGGCGGCGGCGGCGGGGGGGGGCGTCGACGACGACGACGGTGGTGGTGGTGGTGGCGGTGGGTTGTGGTGGTGCTTGTGGTGGCGGTGGTGGCGGTGGTGGTGGTGTAGTGGTTTCTTGTGGTGGTGGTGGTTGTGGTGGTGGGTGTTGGTGGTGGTGGTGGTTTGGTGGTGGCGTGGTGGTGGTTTGTGGTGGTGGTGATGGTGGTGGTGGTTGTGGTGGTGGTGGGTTGTGGTGGTGGTGGTGGTGGTGGTGGTGGTTTGGTGGTGGTATGTGGTGGTTTGTGGTGGTGGTGTAATGGTGGTAATGGTGCTGGTGGTGGTGGTGGTGGTGGCGGTGGTGGTGGTGTGGTGGTTTGTGTGGGTGGTGGGTTTTGCTGCTGTGGTGGTGGCGGTTGTGGCGGTGGTGGTGGTGTGTGGTAGATTGTGTGTGGTGGTGGTGGTAGTGGTGGTGGATTTTTTTTTTTGTGGTGGTGGTGGTGATGGTGAATTGTGGTGGTGGTGGTGGTTATGGTGGTGGTGGTGGCTGTGGTGGTGGTGGTGGCGGTTGTGGTTGTGTGGTGGGTTGGTGGTGGTGGTGGTGGGTTGAGGCGGTGGTGGTGGTGGTAGTGATGGTGGTGGGTGGTGGCGGTTGTGGTGGTAATCGTTGCTGCGTCCCCGTCGTCGCCGTCGCCACCGCGGGCGCTGCTGGCCGCCGCCAGCGACGGCGCCCGCGCCGGCGCCAGGGGGGGTGATGAACCCCCCCCCTTGGGCTGCCTCTGGTCTTCGTCGCTGCGTCACCGCCGTCGGCGATGCAGGCAGCCGCCGGCGCCGGCGCCGGCTCCGGGGGGAAGGGGGGGTTGAACCCCCCCCCCCTTGGAGGGGAAACGGGGAGGGGGGGGGCTCGGGAAACGGGGAATTTGGGGGGAGGGGAGTGCCCCTGGCTTGAATCGACGGCGCCGAGTGTTTGGGGTGGGGCCCGCCCCCCGGTTCGAAACCCGCCGCCGAATGTTTCCATGGCGTGCGCTTGTGAAACGCGCTCTCTCGTAAATTGCAGTGCGAAGAGGGGAGCGGATAATCCCCGGCTGGAATGGCATGGCATAGCCCACAGGAGCACGGCAGAACACACAGGAGCACGGCAGAACACTTAGGAACACATCCGTAGCCATTCTGGCTCAAGGCCATGGAGCACCCGACGACCGCAAGTCGTCCGCGGCGTTCCGAGCGCGAGGGTCTCCTCGCTTGGGGCCAGTGCAATTCGTTGTTTCGCTCCCTGTTGTCTCCGCGCGGAGGCGCGACCAGTCGGCCAGCGCGGCAGTGGCCATGGCGCGCTCCTTGCGCAGCGGCGGCGGTGGCAGCAGGCGCAGCAAAACGTAGTGGATGTGCAGCTGCGGTGGTTGGAACTGGGACTGGCGCACCACGTGCCTCGGCTGCGGCTACGCGGCACCGCCTTCGGCGCTGGAGGCTGCAGCGGCCCGAGCCAGGCCCCGGGCGGACAAGGACGGCTGGGTGGATCAGCCACGAGGGCGCCGTGCCCAGCGGCAGGCCCGCAGTGCGGCTACGAGTGCGGCCCCCGTTAAGTCGCAGACCTCGGCATCGGGCGACAGCGGGGCACCCGGCGGCAGCGGCGCCACGGCGATCGAGAGGCTGCAGGCAGCAGTCGAGCAGCTGGAGGCGCTGCAGGCGGAGCCGCCCGACGGAGTTGACAGCTGCTTCACCGACGTCGTCGCCAGCCAGCTGGAGGCCAAGCGCGCCGAGCTGGTCGAGGCCCAGCGAGCAGCAGCGGAGCAGAAGGCGTCCTCCCCGCCGCTGTCGACGCTGCTCCACAAGGGGGCGAACGCCATCAGCAAGGGCGAGAAGCGGCTCCGAGCCGCGCGCCAGAGCCTGGAGCAGAAACAGGCGGCGCGCGACCTCGCCGAGGCCCAGTTCCAGAATGCCCAGCAGGAGCTGGCGCAGCTCGACGCGGAGGTGGAGGAAGCCTCCCGTGCGTTCCGCGCCCTCGAGGAGGATGCCCGCGTGGAGGCCGAGGCGCAGCGGCGTCAGCGCGCGGCGGAGTGGGCAGGGTCCAGCCAGGTCCCTGGGCCCCTCTTGCAGCTGGACAAGCTGCCCGAGGCTTGGGGCTCCAGCAACTTCGAGGTGGCGTGGGCAGCCATTCGTGCCCAGGTGGAGGCTGTGCGCAAGCAGCTCGCTCAAGCCCCTGCGGCAACAAGGAGAGCGCCATGGGCTGAGTCATGCCCCATGGGCGAGGTCGGCAGCGGGGGCGGCGACCACGCAGGAGGCACCGAGCCCTGGCAGCCGCCCTGCTGGGCCCGCCGCTAGGAGCTGCAGCGGAGGTGCGAGGCCAGGGCAGTCGTGCATTTAGCCACGCCAGAGCGACGGAGCCGAGGCAGCGCGCAGGCGGTGGCGCCGATGCGGCCCGCCCCTCGACCTCGGGAGAGCGCAGGGCCCACTGGCGCCAGGCCAAGCGGCAACGGCAGCTCAGGACGTCCGATGCGGGCTCGAGGTGCTCGGGATCAACGGCAACACCTGGAGGAGGAGCCTGGAGGTCATCGAGGCCTTTGCCTCTCGGCACGGTGCCCTGCCGCACCTGGTGATGCTCCAGGAGACCCGCTTGGCTCCGCACCACCTGGAGGCAGCCAGAGGAGCAGCGCGCCGCCTGGGATATACAGCCTTCCTCCACGCGGCGGCGCCCACGGACAAGGAAGGCCCGCTGGCGAACTCAGGCGGCGCGGCGGCCCTGGTGCGCAGCGACCTGCAGGCAGCGGAGATCGCCTGGATGGTACCGAGCGACCTGAGGCATCGCATGATTGGGGTCACCGTGTCCACCGCGTCAGGCCTGCAGCTCCTGGCGTGCTCGCTGCATCTGCAGGACGCCCTGGGGCCCGAGGGCATCAACCTCGACATCTTCGCCGCCTTCGGCGACGCGGTGCTCTCCGAAGGCATGCCCTGGCTCGCGCATGGGCGACTCCAACATGGAGCCAGGCACGCTGCACGAGTTGGGCTGGCCCAGAGTGCAGCGCGGCACGTACCTGGGGCCTGCTGAGTGCACATGCGTTGCCCAAGGTGCTGAGCATGTGTACGACTGGTTCGTGAGCTCCTTCTGCCTGGCCCATGGGGTAAGCGAGGCCTCAGCTCTGGATGGCTGTGGGCTGTATCCCCACAAGCCCGTGAGGCTGCTGCTGCAGGACGTGAGACCAGACGCCCTGGTGCAAGTGCTGGTTCGACCTGGTCGTTTCCCTGATGTCGACGCAGCTGCTTGCCGACCTCACGATGATGCTGCAGTCCAGGTGCACCGCCGCGTGGGGCGCACTCGCTGGCAAGTGGAGCCCTGCTGCTGGACCTGGGAGGTGGGCCCCCGACCGAGTGACCCTCGCGAGGCCGCTCGGCAGTGGATCCAAGTCGTCGAGAGCACCTTGGTGGGGGTCCACGGCATCGATGACGGCGACCTGCACAGGTACCTGGGGCGGTCCGAAGGGCCCAAGATTGTCCTCAAGCCCTTCAGCGCCGTGGTCAAGCGCGAGTACCGCCACCGGCACTCGGTCCTCACCCGCGCCATCCGCCAGGCCCTCGACGTGGCTCTCCAGAGGCTCACAGCGGACAGGACGCAGCGTTGGCAGCCCGCGCACGAAACCTGGTACGAGCGGCAGGTGGTGCGGGTCCTCGCCGATGTGGAGGCGGCCACCGTCGCAGCTTGCGAGGAAGACGAAGTCGAGGCCCTCGAGTTCGACACTAGCGAGTGGGGCGACCTCGTTAGCCAAGCTGGTCTTCATGGAGACCCAGAGGCGATTGCAGTGCTGCAGCGGCGCCTCGCGAGCTCCCAGAAGCGAGATGGAAGCTAGAGCTTGGCCTCCTGGAGGGCATGGGCCAAGGAGGCTGTGCAGAAGGGCGGCAGGCTGGCCCGCAGGTTTGCAAAGGCTGTGCCGCCCCCGCAGGTGGTGGACCCCGATACTGGCAGACCCTTGGCATGCTGGCTGTCGGGCAGCTGGAGGCCAACTGGCAGGCCCTCTGGCAGCAGGAGGGCTTCAAGTCAGGAGCTGGAGTTGGCAGCTGGGACGTCCAAGGCTCGACGTTGTCGCCCCTCAGCCTAGAGATGTGGCAGGCTGTATGCAAGCGCTACTCGCCGACGGCGGGCCTGGGGGCTGACCAGCTCCACCCGCGGCAGCTGCTGCTGCTCCCAGTGGCCCTGCAATTGCGCTGCCTGGACCTCCTGGAGGCCTACGAGGAGTAGCCCCAGGCCCTGGGCGCCCAGGCCACCATGATGGTCTTCATTCCCAAGTCGGACGGTGGAGTCCGACCGATGGCGCTGATCCCGCTGCTCATGCGCATCTGGAGCCGCCTGAGGCAGCCAATCTGTGCGCTGTGGGAGGCGGAGCACGACTATCGTTTCTTCTGGGGCAAGGCCGACCGTGGCTGCGAGAAGGCAGGGTGGCTGCACAACGCTTTTGCCGCCTTCGCGCGGGAGAATGGGTTTGCCGCCGCCGGCCTCTTTTTGGACATCACCAAGTTCTACGAGAGCCTGCGGCGCGACGTCCTGTGGCAGTGCGGGATCGAGCACGGCTTCAACTTGAAGCTGTTGCGAGGCCTGCTCGTACAACACCAGACCAGAGCCCGCGTTGCATTTGCTTTGTGGGCATGGCCACTGAGTCGTTCACCACCTGCGGGACGGTCCTGGCGGGGTGTGCGTGTGCAACCACAATGGCCAAGCTCTCCGTGCTTGCTGCCCTCCGAGCTGCCTCTGCGGGATGCAGGCCGCTTGTGGTCGCGCGCAACGTCGTCGATGACATCGCGCTGCAGGCAGTCGTCACGGAGCGGCTGGTCGCTGCGCAGCTGGGCACTGCTGGGCTGGAAGTGGCCTGTATCCTCCGTGGCCAGCACCTGCCCATCAGTGCCTCCAAGACGACCTTCCTCGCCTCGAGTCCAAGCCTTGGGCGTCAGCTGGGCGAGTACTGGAGGTCGCAGGGCTGGACCTTCCGCAAGACCTCGCAGGCCAGGAACCTCGGCGCGGACGCCACCATCACGAGGCGAGGAATGCATGAGGGCCGAGTACGAGCTGCTGGGGCACTTCGCCGTGCACGCAGGCTGGGCTGCTTGCGTGCCGTTGGCGTGGATGCGGACCTCACCCACAAGGCTGGACCCACAGCCAGCATGGCGTGGGGGCGCACAGTCACGGGCATCGCTGACGGCGAGCTGCACAGCTGGAGGCTCGCCGCATGCCGCAGCGCAGGAGCGCTCCCCATGGGCGCTGCACTGCAGGAGGAGGCGTGACCTGGACCCTGCAGTCCTCACGGCTTGCCATGCAGTCCAGATGCTGGCGAGCCTCCTGCAGTCAGACGAGCTGCCGCGCAGGATAATGGCGCGGGGGCTGGAGTCGGCGGCAGCCAGGCACGCGAGTGCCGACGCGCTGTGGAAGCACTGCGTCTCCCCCATCGACGCGGCAGTGCTGACTCTCGCACGGATCGGCTGGCACTTCAAGTCCGAGCGGTACCTCGTCGCGGACCTCGGCGACGAGCTCGACCTCTTGCTCATCGGGCCTCGGGAGCTAGGCCTGGAGGCTGGCCTCGGCGCCAGGCGCGCCTCCGATCGCCACGAGATGCGGAAGCTCAGCCACGACCCCCTCTTGCAGCGGCCATTGTACTGAGACGCCATCGGACGGCTACTCGGGCCAGACAGCGAGCTGAGCGCGAGGGAGCAGAGTGCGTTTGTGGCCGGCATCTCCAACACGCACTGGGCGCAGGCCAGGCTCTTTGATGCAGGGGGGCGGGGGCGCGCGCGTTGTGGCCGCTGCGGAGCCGAGCGAGGCACCGCGTGGCACCGCCTGTTCGAGTGCCCTGCGCTGGAGCCCCAGCGGCGCGACGGAGCGCCCGCACGGCTGAAGAGGTGTGCAGAGCGAGCGCGGGCCCACGGGGGGTGTGCAGGCGAGAACTTCGCCCGCCGTTGGCTGTCTGCCCCAGAGCCGCCGCAGGGTCGCCGCACAGACGCTACGTGGGTGCAGTGGGTCTGTAGGCCAGCCGATGATAAGCTCAACGGCAAGCTGAACCTTGATGGCTCGGCCCTCGGGCCGCAGTTCAGTGCTTTGCGCCGCGCAGGCTGGGCCATTGCACAGTGCGACGGCGACGGCAACCTAGTCGCAGGGGTGTGCGGCACCGTCAGGCGAGACCTCTGCCCGCAGCAGACGGCCAAGGATGGCGATGACCTCGCAGTATGGATGCTCGCCACCTCCGCAGGGCCAGCGGTTGAGGAGGTCAACATCGACTGCAGCTCCACCGTGACCTGCCTGCGCAGAGGACGTGCATACGCCACGGTGCCTAGCTGGGCCAATGCCCATATGTGGGGCAGGATCCTGGCGTGCCTCGAGCCAGGAACCTTCGAGGTGAAGAAGGTGCCAGCCCACTGGTCGATGCAGGCAGTGCTCGATGGGCTCCTGACGGAGGCCCAGCGGCGTGGCAGCGAGCATGCTGATCGCCTTGCCAAGATGGGCCCCCAGATGCATGTGGTGGACAGGCAGACGGTTGGCGAGCACCACGCGCTGGCGGAGATCGTGCTGGAGCTCGGGCGCTGGATCTGTCGGGCAGCCATCCTCTGACAGGACATCGCGGCCAAGGATTGCGAAGGGCTCCCTCCTGCGGCTGAGCGACGCCAGGTACGCTTCGCCGCTGCCGAGGCGTCGCAGGCGGCAGTGGAGGCCGCTAGCACCGCGCCGAGGGCCAAGCGGCCGCGCCTGGAGAGCGCCCGCTCGGCTGGCAGCAGCTCAGCCGCCCTCTCGGCCAGCGCTGTAGCCTTCAGCATCCTGGGGCACGCCCTCTCCTACGCCTGCGCTGGAGAAGGTGACGAGGCCCAAGAGCCCGTGACGTGCACCAAGTGCGGCGCCTACATGGCGTTGGGAAGTCGCTCTGGAGTGAGGCCTCGCCTCAAGGAGCGGTGCCCAGGCGACAAGGCCGACAAAAGGGGCGGGAACCAGCGCAGCCTGTGGCTTCGGGGGCCCCATCCTGGCGGCAGGAGGCAGGAAGGGTCCCGAACCGCCGGGCGCAGAGTGAAAGGAGAGGGCGCCCCTGCTCTGCGCTCACAGGGACCACTGCCTGAGCATGCGCAGGAGCGGTACCTGGAGCGGCTTGGCATCGCAGCGGAGCCAGCGGTCGACCCCTCGGCTGCGGCGAGCACCGCAGGCAGCGCCCCTGCAGCGGCCGCGGCGCCCGTCGAGGCGGAGGGCCTAGGCGTGGCCCCGCAGCCGCGCCCACCGCGGCCGCCGCCGCCAGCCAGCCTCTGCAGCGCCCAGTTGCGGCGAGAGCTGGCTTCCTCGGGGCCTTCGGAGCCACGGGAGAGGAGCTCGCCGCCGCGGCCCATGCAGCGGTCGGAGCCCTTGAAGACCGCAGGGTGCGCCGCCGCATGGCACGCCGTGGCGATCCGCCCGTGAGTGAGTGAAATAGCGCATCGGTGTGGCCAGCGCCTGCTGCTCCCCTGTGCGAATAGGCTTCCGCCGCCCTCGGTGCCCGCCTGGACTCGGCCTCTTTCGGGGCGCGGGCCCCGTCTGGCCCTGTCTGCGTTCTGGCCACCACTTGCCTTGAAGGCCCCGTCTTTAACTTTAACTTTAACACTTAGGAACACGGCAGAACACATAACACATATATTCACACAGCCGCACCCACAGGCACACGCACATAGGCACACGCACACAGGCACGCGCACATGCACACGCACGCGCACACACAGACATATGCACACACGCACACACAGAGAGACAACATACGTTCACGCAGACCGCAGGAGCACGGCAGAGCAGCACGGCCTAATACAGCAGTGCCGCAGACCACCACGCACGGACACACATGCACATATTCCACGCACGCACGCGCACGCGCAAACGCACGCACGCCACGACACTTCTGCGCAGCACAACATAGAGCAGGCTTCACATACCCAGTGGACCAAAGGAGTGCTTCCCGCTCTTGCCCGGTCAGGTTCCCCAGAATGGCGACTTCGATTGAGACAGTTTCGCAACATCGAGATGTCGGAGGCTAACGTTTAACACTTCTTATGCTAAAACTGGGCGTTTCGCCTGAGACATCCTCGGACAACGGGGATGTTGAAATCGACGGCCTAATGTCCGAATCTTCGAAAATTGCCGTTTCGCCTGAGACATCTTCGAAAAGTGTGATGTGTAAAAGGTTGTTCAAAAACCCTTGGGTTTTTAACAGCGTTGTTGGTCTCAGAGCGACTCGCTTGAGACATCCTCCACAAATTGCCTTCGTACGGGTCCTCGAATGCGAAGTTAATGAATCACCCATGGGTTTTCAACAGTTTTGTTAAGAACAAAGCGTTTCGCTCGAGACATCCTCCAACAATTGCCTTCGGACGGGTCCTCGATACCATCAGGTTCGTCCTCCTCCTCTTTCTTCCTGCGATTGCGAAAGTTTCAAGCATTCGTGCAATCGCGTCGTCGTCGTCGTCGCCGTTGTCGTTGTCGTCGTCAGTCGTCGTCATGGTCGCCAGAGTCGTCGTTTTCGCTCGTCGTCGTCGTCGTTCGCGAAAGTTGCATGCATGAAACTTTTGATGCCATCGCGTCGTCGTCGGTCGTCGTAAGTCGTCGTCGTCGCTGCCGTCGTCGCTCGTCCGTCGTCGTCGTCTGCGAGAGTTCAGTGTCTGCAACTGTTGATGCAGTCGCGTCGTTGTCGTCGTCGTCGTCAGTCGTCGTCGTCACCGCCGTCGTCGTCGCCGTCGTTTGCGAAAGTTTCATGCACGAAACTTACAAATGCAATCGTGTCGTCGTCGTCGCCGTCGTCGTTCCCGTCGTCGCCCGTTGTCGTCAGTCGTCGTCGTGGTCGCCATCGTCGTCGTCGTCGTCGTCGTTCGTCGCCGTCGTCGTTCGCGAAAGTTTCATGCATGAAACTTTTGATGCAATCGCGTCGTCGTCGGCGTCGTTGTCGTCGGTCGTCGTCGTCGCTTTCGTCGTCGTCGTCGTCGTCGTCGTTCGTCCGTCGCCGTCGTCGTCTGCGAGAGGTTCCTGCATGAAACTGTCGATGCAATCGCGTCGTTGTCGTCGTCGCCGTCGTCGTCGTCGTCGTCGTTGGTGGTCGTCAGTCGTCGTCGTCGTCGTCGTCGCCGTCGTCGTCGTCGTTTGCGGAAGTTCCACGCATGAGACTTTTGATGCAATCTCGTCGTCGCCGTCGCCGTCGTCGTTGTCGTCGCCGCCCGTCGTCGTCAGTCGTCGTCGTGGTCGCCATCGTCGTCGTCTTCGTTTTCTTCGTCGTTCGCAAAAGTTTCATGCATGAGACTTTTGGTGCAATCGCGACGTCGTCGGTCGTCGTCAGTCGTCGTCGTCGCTGTCGTCGTCGTCGTCGTCGCTCGTCCGTCGTCGCCGTCGTCTGCGAGATTTCCATGCATGAAACTTTTGATGCAATCGCATCGTTGTCGTCGTCGCCGTCGTCGTCGTCGTCGTCGGTCGTCGTCAGTCGTCGTTGTCGCTGTCGTCGTTTGCGAAGCTCTCATGCATGAAAGTTGTGATGCAATCGCGTCGTCGTCGTCTCCCGTCGTCGTCAGTCGTCGTCGTTGTCGCCATCGTCGTCGTCTTGTACCCCGGTTTCATGCGGTACCCCCTGTGAACGTTCAGGATGAGCGCCTACCACGCGACGTGCAACCTTCATGTTGGTGCTTGTTCTTGCCAAGTTCATCGATTTCACTCTCTTCTCCTCCTATTCCTCCTCCTTCTCCTCCTCCTCCTCCTCCTCCTCCTCCTCCTGCTCAGCATCTTCGTCCTCCTGCTCCTCCTCCTTGTCATTCTCACCTCACCTCCTGCCCTTCCTCTTCCTCGCCACGTCTGATCTCGCGCCGGTAGTGGACCTCATTTGGTACCCTGTTTTGAACGTTCGGGTCAGCGGCACGTCTGAATTTGCGCGGGTAGTGAACCTGATTTGGTACCCGTTTTTGAATTTTCGGGTAAGCGGCACGTCTGAATTTGCGCGGGTAGCGAACTCCATTTGGCATCCCTCTTGGACGTTCAGGAAACGCACCGACGCGACATGCGACCTTGATGTTGGTGCACGTTCTTGCCAAGCCGCACACACAGGCACACACAGGCACACACACATGCACACACATTCACATACACATACGCACACACACAAGCATAGGCCACGCGCAAAACCTGACCAAAGCAACCGCAGGCAACTACTAAACACGAGCTACCAAAGGCGACCATCTGGGCATTCAGGGGAGCCCAGCGACTGCATCCATGTGCACTCATGCGCATTGGTTGCAAATCCATGCGCGCGTGCGCACGCAAGCTCAGAGAAGCGGCGCTTCCCGTTCTTGTCCGGAAAGGTTCCCCCAAACACGGCCATTTCGCCCGAGACATCCTCAAACAAGTGAGATCTTCAAGGACGTAAATTATGACGCCCTATGTTAAACATGAGACTCTCGCTCAAGACATCCTCAGAAAATGAGATCTCCAGGGATCTTGCGAATTCGTCGGACTCTTAAACTTGAGGCTCTCGCCCGAGACATCCTAGAACAAATGTGATAGTGATCGACCTGCTTCAAGAGCACTTGGTGGTGCACGGGCTACTACGACGACACCGACTTCACTGTCTTTGACGTGTGTTGTTGGTGCGGTGGTGGAAACCCCGTTGAGAGGCATGATTGCCTTTTCGTCCGTTGTCCAATATCCGATCTTACGTCCAGTAGTTACCCGTGACCCACGGGTTTTTGCATGTGTAGTGTTTATCCTATTTACTCGCCGGCCGCATTCAGCCTTGCCCTCTTGTCTCGGCAGGAAGAGCTATATAAGCAATATGTGCTGTCTCGTCCTCTCCCCACCCTCTCCTCCCTCTCTTCCTCCTGCTGTTTGGCAGTGCTGGTGCGGTCGGCGAGGAGGGACTCGAACCCAACAGGTGGCGCTTCTACTAGGAGTATCTGGGAGGTGAGGGGAGAGGAGGAGGAGAGAGGAGTGAGGAGAAGGAGGAGCCAGGAGGAGGGTGGAGGGAGGAGGAGAGGGTAGAACGAATGATGACAATGAGGAGGAGGAGGAGGAGGAGGACTAGTGTAAACCCAAGACGCTGGTACGATGTTGCAAGAAACCATCTCTCCAAGATCCCTCTCCATAACCTGGGGACAGAGGTGGGAGGACAACCTGGGATTTCTTGTGGTGACTAGCATGCGGAAGAACAGGAAGGGAGAGGCGAGGAGACGAGCAGGCATGAGCGGGGAGGGAGAGGAGCGCGAGACCGGGGCAAGGCAGCGGGGCCAGAGAACGCAGATGCCAGAGGAGGTGGAGAGGAAGAGCAGAGGAACGCGGTAGAGGGGGGAACGTTCGGGTGCATGGGACGTTAGGGTGTTAGGGTTCGGGTGTTGGGGCGACAGGGTGTTAGGGTAACAAGGGGGTCTCGCTCTTAGGCCGCGGCGCTCCTGGGGCTCTCTTGGGGGCCACGAGGGCGGCGCCCAGCAGCAAAACCATCTCTAACGGAATCTTGGCGGTACCTTCCCGAACATCTCGCAGGGTATCTTTCGCCCAGGGACCCCCAGGGGCGGCCCCGTGCGCTCGCGCATTCGAAATGTTTGAAGCAACCTGTCACCCGAGATATTTGCACGCTTCTGGCCCGTTGGGCCGGCCTTTTGTCCTCCTCCCGATTGTGCCGCCCTGCTGTTTGACAACAGCGCTGCGGTGCAGACGGAGCGGCGCGTGCGTCTTTCCCACTTGGCGGGTCTCGTTTCCGATGCGCGGCGTTTCTCCCAGCGCACAGCGCAGCCAGCGTTTGAATGTACTGCCGCACCTTGTTCAGCGGGAATTCGGCGCGCCTTTCTGTCTGGTGCAGAACCAGGGCGGGGGCTAGCCTCGGAACATCAACACGACTGACACCGAAGATTTTGCATATGAGAGAAATGCCATCAAACATTTGGAAGTTCGGCAAGTCTTGGCATTCAATTCGATGTTGATTCCATTGG